GGGGGGGTGGGGGCGGGGGAGGCCTACATACCACTTAAGGACTTACTCTTCTTCGATGTACGTGAGGGGTCCAGCAGGGTCCAGCAGGCAGAGGACACAAGTGCAAACGCGCTGAGCAGCCCCCTGGCCGTGGTGGAGACTGGCTCAGGGGCAGCTGCAAGAGGCGGCCCTGGTGGTTGGAGTGAGGTGTGGCCATGGCTGGGGCGGCGTTGGAGCTCGTCAGACGGCAGCAGTGTTCAGGGGACAGCGGCAGGAGGGAGGAGGCAGGTGACACCCGTGTGGACATGGACGTCTGCCGAGCTGGGGGACTTGGGAGGGGCTGATGTGAGTGAGTCTGCAGGAGGCCAGTGCGTGGAGATGGGGGTGAGGCCGGGTGCACGTGCAGAGTGGTGAGGGGCCCCCAGGGCCGCACCTGCATGGTGGCAGCGGCCAGGCTGGCCAGAGAGGGTCGGCAGGGGGCGCAGAGGTTCCAGTGGCCGAGTGTGGGGAAGGGTTGGCGTGGAATGCAGGTGGGGAAGGAGCTAATCAGTGGGTGAGTCAGAGGTTCGGCCAGATGTTCCTGTTCTGTGGATGTCTGTGGTCAGCGTGGATGTGATGACTGTGACGGCTGGCCTTGCTAGCTCTGTGGTAGGAGGTACGTTAGGGACTCCCTCTAGTCGTCTCTGGGTTCTGTGTGTGAGGTGTTTCTGTTCTGTTCTTTGTGCAGTTGAGCTCAAGGCTTCGAATGCTGCCCAGGGTCCTAGTACACGTGGGGATGAGATTGGGACCCGCCGCACTGTGAGGCCGTTCCAAGAGCCAGGTGGGGTTGTGGAGGACTCACGTCTGCAGTGGTCCCTGTGGGCAGTGGAGGCCAGGGAAGCCGATGACCTTCTGTTTGCCATGGCACCAGTTGCCTTCTTGGACAAGAGGAGCAGGGACTGTCCTACAAGGTTGGCCTGAGCAGGCCTGAGCAACTCAAGGACATGGAGCAGCTGACTGGTGGACCCTGAGCAAGGACAGATGGCAAAGGGAAGAGGAGTGGGTGCGGCAAGCAGGAGGGTGTGGTCAGTGAGGGGTCTTGGTGATAGGGAACGTAGAGGGAGGCAGGGCAGAGTGTGGTGGGGATGGCATGAGAGCTAACTCCAGAGCCGAGAGGCGTGGGGCTTGGGTGGTGGGAAGCACCCAGGTGATGGCGGTAGACAGCTGCTGGACAGGGTGGGTGGTGGGTGATAGGAAGACGGGCCACAGGATCACTGTCCAGAAGCAGCAGTGAGGCGCTGACCTCCCCCCACCCTGAGGCCTCATAGCAGGCAGGAGACTCATGGACAACTGGGTAGGGATTGTTCTGGGAAGAGGTGGGAGACCTGGGACAGTTTTGAGGGGCAGTGTGTCTGGGAAGAGAGGAGGCCTGGTCAGGGAACCCGAGCAGCTGAAGTTGGAGACCGGGCAGGGGTGGCCTGCGTGCTGGGCAAAGGCCTCTGGCTGGACACAGCTGGTCCTGGAAGGGCAGATGGGTGGGGGCTGTTCTGGCCATGCTGGGCTTTCAGACTCCTCAGGGTGCTGTTGTCCTGTGGAAGGAGGACTTTGGAGAGGGTAGGGGAGAGCTGGGACAGGCCAGCCCCCGTCCCCGGCGGTGCCTAGCAGTTACCTAGCATGTCAGGGCAGAGCGTCAGCCAGAGCCTCTGTGCCTGGACTAGAGGGAGGTCCTGGACTGCTACTTAGTTCTGGACATTAACTGGTTAACTTGGGTCACAGTCCTCCTTCAGAGTCTCATTTTCCTAGCTAGATGAGAGCAGGGAGCATTCTGAGCCCCACGCATCTTCAGAAGAAGGGGGGACACTCACGATGGGACTGAGGGTGGTTATCGGTTCCCAGAGCCCCGTCAGCATGCTGAGTCTGCCTTTGGGTGCTGGTCACCACTGTGGGATCGGGCAGACATCACTGAGTGCCCTACTGCACAAAAAGGTGCAGCCCGCTTATTGGGAGACATGGAGGATCGGGCCAAGTGTCCCCTCCCCCAGCAGAGAGGCTTCCAGGATCCTGGAGGAAGGACCTGGTGCTGGCTCCCAAGCAGCAGGTGCAGGTGTATGTGGTTTTATTCTGAAGCTGGCTCACAGTCTCCAGCAAGTGTGTGGTGATGTTTTTCATGCCTCAGCTAATCTGTGAAACAGAGGTGCAGGTGCAAGGTTCAGGCTGTCTACCTGGGCCTTTGAAAGATCTGGGCAAAGCTCTGAATGTTTGTGTCGGTCAGAAGCCATGACTGGCCATGAGGAAAGAGAAAAGGGCTTTCCTGATTTCCCTCTCCTATCTCCGTAGAACGCTTCAACCTTTGAAGACGTTGCAAAGGTGTCCTCTGCTTACCAGAAGACGATCCCTGTCGAAGCCGGTGAGTCCTCGCAGAGCCCGCACAGCGCCAAGTGGTTTTCCCAGGAAAGTGCTGAGGGGAAAACGATAGTTTACGAAACAGAGCTGGGAGCAGACATGGATCTTGGTTGTGGCTGGGTATTTTGGGGAAAGAATTTGACCCTTTTGATGAAGATCTGTTTGCTCCAGCAGAGGTTTGGAGGCACCTTTCAGACACAGTGTGTTGCGGCTCTGGCAGTGGGGTCTGTTTTGAGGGGCACTTCCCAAAGCAGACATGGGTTAACTGCAGGTCTGCAGGGCCCTCCTGCTCTGCCATGAGTGGGTTCTGGGAGCAGCTAACACACGCCCCATCCTCCCTGAACCATCGGCCGTGGCCACCATGGGAGCAGGGTGTCAGCATCTGCACATACTAAAGGAGACCCTCTTGCTGCCTCTCACTTCTGGGCCTGCGACCAGGCCGCTCGAAATCTGTCCTTTCAGGTGTCTGCAGGGCACACATGGAATCAGGCATGGGCCACGCCCTGATGTCAGCATCATTTAGTTGGGGACAGTACTATGTATGATAAGAAGTGCTGGATTCAGAGTAGTAAGCAGAGTCACCATTGGTTTACTGCGGATGCCTGGATCGGCAGTTCTCAGATTTTGTGGTCCCAGGACCATGCTCGTGGAAATTACCAAGGGCCCCAAAGAGCTGCTGCTGCTGTCTGATGTCTACTCCATTAGAAATTAAAATAGAAAAAAAGTTTTAAATTAATTCACTGAAAAATAATAAAACCGTTACGTGTTTATGTAAGAACACTCTTTATGAAAAGTAGCTACATTTTTTGAAAGCTAAAGAACACTTAGAAGAACGGCATTGGTTTATGTTTTTGTGAATCTCTTCAGGAACAGATGGCTGGACTCTTGTATCTGCTCCGCTCTGCATCCGTTCTGTTGCCCTAAGTTACGTTGTTTGCCCAACTGGGGAGTCCACATTTTCTCCACAGTCAGAAGGGGAGGAGTGTTTCACAGCCCCCTATCACGTGGGTGCTCTGCGGGCTGCCCCCAGCCTCGCGCGCTGGCACCTCGGACGGCGGGCCTCCTTGCACCTGCAGCAGCTGCCCACCTGTCATGGCAGCAGCGTCAGCGTTGCTCTCGTGGGAGGAGCTGGCTCTGAGTTATGCTCATCTTCAGAGGTGGTTATTTGTACCGTCAGTCTCACTAGCAAAGTCTTTAAATGAAAATCGTCATGCTCATGGTGGCAGCTACAAGTTTTTCAAAATTCTGAGGTTTGCTTGAAAGCTTTTATTTTCTCATTGGCAACAATTGCTGCAGGAATGTTTCTTGACATGACATGCTCAGATATTTCCACTTTGGAGGAAATATCTGCCAGATACCGAAATCTGGGTTGACTGACTTGTCTGTCAGCTGCTACTCAGGGGAGAGTGGTGCTCCATGAAAAACAGTGTAACTCACAGCTCAAGGAGTGGCACAAAAAATGTTTCTTGAGACACCCATCAAACTTCACGGACGGCAGCAGTGGTTTATGTGTCCTTCCCATTTTTGTCGCACAAGATATCAAATGGTGTATACTCAAGGGTGGAGGCTTACTAAAATTCAGTGCTTTTTACTGCATCAGGACTGACATCCTTAAGTGGGATTGGCTGCTGCTTTTTTAAAAATTGTGTGTGGTGGTAAAGAATACAATGATGTTTGTTTTAAAATCCTTCCGGATGCAAGGGTGGGGTGATGTCCCACTGCTGCCATGCACTGTGGCGGGCATGGGGGAGGGCCAGAGGGCGGTTGAGCTGGCAGCCGGGAGAACTGTTTCCCTTCTTGGTGGGAACTCCTGTTGAGCAGGGAAGGCCGCCTCGGTGCGGGGCCCTCGGGAGGCGTTCTGAGGTCAGGCATATGCTCCTGTTGCTCTAGTGACCAGCAAAGCCAGTGACATCAGAGCCAACTTTGAAAACCTCGCCAAGGAGAAGGAGCAGGAGGACAGGCGGAAGGCGGAGGCGGAGCGAGCGCAGAGGATGGCCAAGGAGAGGCAGGAGCAGGAGGAGGCCCGGAGGGAGCTGCAGGTGAGCGAATGGGCCGCACCTGTGCTCAGCGTGTGGGCCTGCTGGGGCTGGGGGCTGGGGGCTGGGGCTGGGGCCTGGGGCCTGGGGCCTGGGGCGAGCTTCCCATGGGCAGAGGGGTTCTGGGAAGCCATTGTGTCTGGGCCCAGCCTTGGCTCCCTTTCAGCTCCTGGCCACCCNGGGCTCGGGGCTCGGGGCTCGGGCTGCTTTTCTCAGTGGAGCAGGTTTCCAGGAGAAATCATTTTAAACTCCCGTCCAAGGCTGTATTCTAAGGAACTTCTAACCTTAGCCACAGGTATGGTCAGGTCTTTTTTTTTTTTTTTTCCTTTTTGTCTTTTTTCGTGACCGGTAATGGGATCGCAACCCTCAGTGTTGTGCCCGTACTGCGACCGGCAACGGGATCGTCGCAACCCTCAGTGTTGCGCCCGTACTGCGACCGGCAACGGGATCGCAACCCTCGGTGTCGTGCCCTTACCGCGCTCAACCAGTGAGCGGACCGGTCTCTACATGGGATCCGAACCCTCGGCGGGAGCCCCGCCATGCTCCCAAGCGCCGCACTCTACCGGACCGGCCCTGGTCAGGTCTTTTGACCACGAGATCCCGGGCAGTTTTCTGGCTCTCATCCAGCCCTCCTGTTCAGTGCCCGGGTGCCTGCCAGCCTGCCCTGCCCTCTGTCCAGGAGCGGTCAGGGGACGTGACTTTGAGTTCTGTAGGCTTCTCCCTCCAGGGGCTCCAGTCCTGATGTTTCCCTGAGTCTCTGTTCTCCCCATCCCCTTCCAGAACCTGCTCTTTTCTTGGGAGGAAGGTTGTGGGTGCAGGAGGGACTCATGGGCAGGAGGTGGGGCTGTTCTCTTCTGCAGCTCCCGGTTCTGTCACCTGGCCTGCTGCTTTTGCCTGGAGGCTGTGGACACGGGGCTGTGGGAACTGGGCAGGAGGCGAGGACTTTCTCCTTCCTGAAACTTCTCCACACGGGCTCGGTGTGTGAGGGCTCTGGTCCCCACGTGACCACCCGCCACCTGGGCACCTGCAGCATGTCAGCTCATCTTTCTGCAGCTTTGTGTACTCACCTGTAAAACTTACCACATGACTGACTCTGGGGTAGTCAGAAAATAGAATCCTGAAATAATGCTGCTCTACAAACCATGAAGCTTTGTATAAATCCATGGACGTTTCCTCCCCAAAATCAGTGCTTAGGGCTCTGAAAACCCCTGTTGGGGGAGAGTGTGGTTGAGAAAATCAACATACAACAGGCAGATAAGCTGGAAGCCAAAGACATTAATCAACCAGCCCTGGTATGTGTTTATGACATGCAATCAAGTAGGAGTAAGAGCAGTTTATATAATCGTCATTTACCATTCCTTCACCACTAGAAACTTTCCTAGGCGGGGTCGCCTGGTGGGTACGGGGATGCCCTGGACCTTGGTGTAGTCAGCACTGTGCTCTGCCAACTGAAATTCTTACAGAGCTCTGTGCTCCACAGTTTCAATGAGCTGCTCGGGAGCTGTGGTTTTCCTGTGTGGCAGCACCCATGGGTACACGCACACAGCAAGAAGGGCACTTTCCCCTGTTCCTTGTCTTCCGATAACGCAGGCTTGGGGCGTGTGGGAGGGAAGAGGCTCAGGGTTGTCCTCGAACCTTCCCTCCCGCTGTGCTGCGCTTCCTGCCAGCCCCTCCCAGCCTCGGCCTGAGGGCTTCTTGGTGGCCAGCTGCTCCTGTCTGTGTGGGAAGCCCCCCCCCCCCCCCCCCCCCCCCCCCCCCCCCCCCCCCCCCCCCCCCCCCCCCCCCCCCCCCCCCCCCCCCCCCCCCCCCCCCCCCCCCCCCCCC